CTTACAAAAGTATCGAAGAAGTTTTCTTTAAAAAATGATAAAATGATACAGGAATTTTTTGAAATATTTTTAGAAAATTTATAGAGAAAGTCTAAAAAACTATACAAAAAATTCTAAAAAAAGGACTGTTTTGATAAAATCGAATGGTATCATTTCATACACCAAGCTCGTTTTTCAGGACAATAATTTCTGAATCCTTTTGAATAATCACTCCCTTATGATTCCTCTCGCAGATCTCAGGATACGAGTTCATCCCTAATTCGCTTTCAGACGTAGATACACTTTCGGTAGTCTCGTAATATTGACTCGAAGGCGAATCGACATTAGACTGTTTGTCGTCGTTTTCCTTATACTCTTCTGTTTGCACACCCACTTCACAAACATCTTGCGCCGCTTGGGAAGATGCGTCGACATACTCTATGCAAATGCTCACTTGCTCGTTGTGCTCTGCAAAATTTATCGCGGTTTGCAACAGATTATTTCAAACCAAAGAAAATTTTTTTATAAAAAATATCAATCTCACCTCTTTCAATTTTCGATAAATATTAAAAATTAATAGATATATAGCAAATATCAACTAACAATAATATAACCGTTAGTTGTAATTTCCCGCTCAACAATATAACATGTTATTCTTGCTGAAAATTTTTCTTAAAGTTTTTCATGATTTTTCAGAATTCTCGGTAAAAAAATTGTCATGCATGAATATGTATAAATATGTATAAACATACATAAATATTTACGTAACATGTATAATCATATATATGTCCATATATCCTTCTTTTTTTTTGTAAAATTACTTTTTAATGTAATAGAAATATTAATATTAATGTGAAAACATTAAAAATAATTAAAAGGGCGATTTTCACATTTGTTTTAGAAAAAATCAAGTTTGAAGAAATGTAAAAATATTACTTATGTACAATTATATATGAAATTATGCATAATTGTGTATGAGCAATTTTTTTACATTTTTTCGAACTTATTTTTTTCTAAACAATGCAAAAATTATCACTTTAACTATTTTTTATGTTTTCGCATTGCTATTATTATTTCTATTACACTAAAAAATAATTTTACAAAAGAAAGAAGGATATATGAACATATTTCATATATATTTATGAATATTTGTGTATATTTATACGTATTTATACATATTCATGCATGAAAAATTTTTTACTGGGAATTTTTATATAAATTTCAAAATCTATCAGAATTTCTGAATAATTTTATAAACTTTTTAAAGAATTTCTCGGATAAGACATAAATTGGAATATTTTTCAAAAGTGTCGAGAAAGTCTATATCTTTTCCAGAATTCTTCATATATATGAACTGTGAAATATTATGTCTCATCCTATAATTTTTTACGTAATCTTATAAAAAAAAGAGTATGAGAAAGTTTAAGGTATTTTTGCAGAAATTATAGTTTAAGTTTAAAAATCGGAGAATATTTTAAAATTCATATACATACGAAAAATTCTAAAAAAGGTATAGATTGTCTCAATATTTCTGAAGAGTATTCCAATTTATATAAAAATTCTGATAAAAAGTTTTACTAGGGATACATATATAACAGTTATATTATATTATAATTATATTGTTATATAAGAAATTATAATTAACAGTTATGTTATTGTTAGTTTACTGGATATGTTCTTGTAGAATAAACATTTGTTTTTTAATAGGTAAATTAGTGTATACCTTTTATATTTAAGAGGGAAAGTTCTAGTGCAATCTAATGTAGCAATAAAAAACTATCCAGTCGAAACAAATTAAAAGTAAACATACTATCAGTGTTATAATTTCACACTCAACAATGTAACTGTTATATAACACTGTGTGTTATATTATATTTATATTGTTGAATGCGAAATTATAACATTGTGTTACTTTTAGTTAGTGTTAACTGGAAAACTTTAATTTTTACCTTGCAGCTTGGACATTTACCTTGTGTAGCTTTTACTTCAGTTAGTATATTGCAGGACGTTACGCGCGACATCAAATAAGTATTATTTTCCAATAGTGGATTCCCGCTCAGATTCTCTCTCAGAACGCATGTATTAGTTAATAGCGGATAACCACCTGTACTGTATCGAAATCTATCAGGACGAAAGTATATTGACAGATAAGTGTCAGAATATTGCAAGGATGCAATCTTGTTTGCATTGAATAATATATGCCCCTGAGAAAGCGGTTTTATAATAGATCCAGTTCTCATATCTTCTGTTTTATCGGTCCCGTCAATATCTATTTTGTTAAGAGCTCTATCCTACAAAATAACCAAGGATTATTATGTATTCGACTGAAAGATTTAACGCGCCTGGAAAGCTCACAAAATTCTTTAGGTGCTCCCGTTGCTCCGGGGTGAAACTCAAGGATCTGTATTTCTGCAGTTCTCGTCGCGCAATGCGAAGCTCACGCTGAGCTTGAGTCGTAAGTGTCATCATGTTTTCCATTATCACGCTGGATGGTATCAGTTTTACTGGCTGCACACAAAGAGAACTAAGAGACAACCTTAATTTTCCAATAACAATTTGGATTTCGAGATCATTCATTAAAAAATTTTTGAATTGTGACAACTATGTAAATATATGTAAATAAAGAAATAAATCTTTTTTTGAAACTAGCTCGAAGGTGTTCTTTTAAAAAGAAAAGATCCACGTGGGAAACGAACCGCAGGTTTCTCATGTTCGTTGAGCTCGTGGAAGTAGCGCGTGTTCTCCAAGACATTCGGGCTCCATGCTCGAATATCCGTGCACGAATTGTACAGCTTCAAGCGACCCTCCGATCTTTTCTGTGGCAGAACATAATCCCCATAAGTCAAAGGTACACCACTGCTTGGTCTGCCCGTCAAAAAAATACGGGGTCCATGCTCGGCGTAAGACATCTCTTGTTGGTGCCGCGAAACCTCACGAGCTAATATTTGCAAAATTTTCCGTCGTTCTCGTAACTTCAATTAACGATTGCGTCCAATTTTTGCGAACATCATATTCCACACAAAGTTACAAATTTTTGGTTGGGGCTTTCTACCATATTTTATTTACACACCATAGTAACCGTGACAGAGAAGACATCGATACTGAGCGTGATTCCGAGGGACGCTTTATGTGGGATTATTGAGTAAATAAGATTTAGGAAAAATACAATAAAATATCTTTATTTCATAAGCTGCCATTAAAAAGAATTACAGCGTTAATAAGTATATTTTCATCCTCGTAATTCATTAACTCTTATCCGCACTAAGGAGTACAATGCGACGTACCGTGTTAAAAATATATCTAATTTCATTTCACAAACACTAATTTAGCACTCCCTCCAAATAACAATTACAGTGCTCAATAAAGCACTTAGTACAGACGAATAAGTACTTCTTGCAAACGTATCTAGTCCATATTCATCCGTATTCCATTTGGTTAAGTACAAAAGTGATTTCTCGCTTCGAGCGAAAATACATACAAATTAAACTTAAAATGATTATCTTACAATAATACTAATTCTTCAATTCATATTCTCGTTCAAGCATTCTCTCTCTCTCTCTCTCTCTCTCTCTCTCTCTCTCGCGTGCGCGCGCGTACTCTTTCGCTCTCTTTCTTGGACTCATATACCATAAATATCTTTTTCAAAAAGATATTACTTTTTAGATATTATACATGATCTATGATGCATGGACAGATGGTATAAGATAAGAAACGCATTAAACTTAAAAAGAAATATATCTCAGATATCGCGGAATTAATAATATAATTAATGCGATTAATAATTTCACAATGATGCATGATATGGCCCGTTAAAAACAGCGCGGAAGTCCAAGTGATAGATTTGCGATTACGAAAAAAATACACTCAATAGAAAAATATCTAGAATATTATAAATATATCTTTGTATATATTTATATATGTACATGTCTTTTCGAATTAAGTAGAAAAAGTGGGCTTGAGCGTATATAAAAATGGACTCATGTAACTACAAAGGCAGTATAGATATTTTAAAAACGATGTCTTCTCATCAATGTTTTCAACGATGTAAATATAATTGGAATTTAACATTCCCTAACATATTAATTCCACTTTGATGAAGGCACGCAAAGAACAATATTTTACACACATAAAAATACAATCGTTTTTCCTGACGTTTCTGTCGATACTTACCGTCCTATAAAGCATTACCCTTCAATCCTTAGTCCGCAATTGGATAACAGATAACATAGATAAAAATGAAATTAAAATTCGAAAACTTCAACAGTCTAAACATGCGGTGGTGTGGACGAAATAGATACACGAATAGGCGTGTGGCTGCATTATAATGGAACACTTCTTTTTCTATTATTTTTTTAAACTAGCGGGAATGATATATTATGGGTGTGTTCAGGGAGCTCACTACCAGTGTTATGTAGCGCTACCACTGTTCAGGGAGTTAATTGATAGCATTATGAAACACTATCGTGATGTTATTGTTGGTAGCGTTTGACGTCATGACTCGCGCTACAAATGCTATCGCCAAAGAGGTAGTGTGTTGATAGCGTAGCGTTCGTGTGCTCCATGAACAACGATAGTGAATACTGAAGTGAACATTGTTGGCTGATACTTCGAAATTAATGATCACAATAGTATTCATTACACTTAGCTTTTAAAATGGATTACGTGGAAATGGAATTGCATGATGAAGAGTTATAGGAAAGTTATGTTAAAATTGAGTCCAACGGATGTCATTAAATCAAAAAATTATAAGGTGTTATGGTTGTCCAATATTTTGTAATTATACAGTTTAGCTCAAAAATCAAATTAGACTAGTTCAACGCGTTTTTGCATAAAACGAAAGAATCTAGCAGAATCTAAAAAATCTTGCTTTTGCTCCATTTTGTCGTATGTGGTATGGTTAGGGCAAACACTACACTATTATTGTTCACAGAGCTTGTATTCGCTAGCACTATCTTGGCTCCGTGAACAGAGATGGTAGCGTTAGCGTTGGTAGTGCGGTGATGAGCTCTCTGAACGCACCCTATGTAAGGCCACTGTTACTTTTGGAACGTTATTTGTCAGGCAGCAAAATTTATATTCTTCGCGATAGTGTAATCTAATCTGCCTAATACATGACGTCCCAAAGCAATAGACAACTGGTTACAAAGTATCGAGATAAAAGTTTTCTTAATCATAGAATTCACAAAGCATCACCTCAGAGATCAGTCATACACAATTCATAATACTGCGTAGAAATTATCTTCCTTTCGCTATTATATATTTTATTTTCCTACACGCCTATATTTCGATACTTTATAACGAATTATCTATTACCATTCTATAGTTTGTAAATATAAAACGCGTTACCCTACAGGTGCAGTACACCCTGATCGTAATTTTGATGATGATGATGATGATGGTGATAGTGATGGTGCTGAGTGGACGATGCCGAAGCATCATCTTGCATCGTCATGCCTGTAAGATCGACAATCTCGTCTGCCTCTTCATCACTACCGGCACTCTGCGTAGACTGACGACTTCCTGACGACAATTGACTGTTACGTGAGAATGAACCACGACGAGGTGCTGTTAATGCTGCTCTCTGATTTGCCGGCTTGACAGTTATGATGAGATTAGAGGAATTTGCTATCATCATATCTGTCACCTGTCCCATACATGAATAAAAAAAAAAGAAAAAGTAAGTATTCTATTCTATGTAGATGTACTTATTATTTATATAAGATTTATATTATTTCAAAGGTTAGAAAACATATTAGAATAACATAGTGTAATATAATTAATATATTGTATGTATTTAGTGAAAATATAGTTTTATTGAAATCAAGTAAATGAATATTATTTCGTAATTCTGCTTGTGACTATAATTCTAATATTCCTCTTTTGCTACACAACAATAATACAACTCAAAAAAACAAAGTTTTCTAGAAAATAAGTTTGAACGGTTGGAATCATTAAAATTTTGTAAACGAATTGACACAGGAAATATATGTATAAAAGATTATAATTAAATACAATAATAGAAAAACGAAATAATACAAATCAGAACATTCTCATAAAAACAGTTCACAAGTAAAAGAAATACACATACGTTTCGCATACTAACAACTTTTAATAACTACCATCCCAGACTCAAATTTACAATAGAAGAAGGTGGTAAATCCTTAAATTTTCTTGACGTCATGTTAATTGATGAAAATCCAGATTGGATACGTCACATGAATTTGACTGAATAAATATAAAGATATTAGACGAGAAGAAAAAATTTTACAAAAACGACTGATCTCTGAAATGTTACATATAAAACAACAGAATAATGGATTAAACTTAAAAAATGATACAACACTTCTCAGTCCTTTATATTTTAACATAATTTGACTTGTCTCTTTCTTCTCTCCAATTCTATTTTGTTCTTTGTTCTTGTCATTTGACTTCTCATCATAAAATGTTTCCATTCGCACGCTAACTATCAAACGATCGACATCTCTTGACATGTATCGTCTACCAAATTTATGTAAGTTTAATTTAATTCCATAATTTTTATTTCTTAAATAAAATTTCAATGAATCAAATGAACAACAAAAAATATTGTAATGTACAGTAAATTTGGCAATTTAATGCGTCGGTGACATGTTCCATGAGAGACGACTTTTACAACAATACCACATCTTAATGGTTTCACTAAAATAACACATATTGCAAAAATTATAGTTTTTAAGAGCATTAACGATTTTCAACACATATATTTTTTCTCTTATTATTACTTTGTACTGAAGAGGACCCAAATTTAGGGTCAAAACATATTTCTTTTACTATTGCGTATTTCTTTTATTATTGCGAACTGTTTTTATCAAAATGTTCTAATTTGTATTACTTTATTTTTCTATTATTATATTGAATTATAATCTTTTACACGCGTACTTTCTGTATCGGCTCATTTACAGGCTTTTCCTTCGTAATTGATTTATTTACTCTAAATTGTTTATTAAATCATTTAAATTTTGTAATATTAATTTTAAAATGCAATTTTGATGTAATAACCGAGAATAGGAGAATAAAACATGTTTCTTTAAAGTATGTTTTTTTAGTTTCCATTTTCTTTTTGCAAGCAACAAAAAAATGACAATCATTGAGTTATATCATTATTGTAATAAATGAGATATCAATATTTGGTAATTTAATGCAACTTAATAAATCATTTTTGTAAAATTACCATTTTTGTATAATTACTTTACCTGATCAAGCGTTTTTCCTGCAACTTCTATACCGTTTACTTCCAAAACTTCATCATTCACAGCTAGAAGCCCTGTACTTTCTGCTAAGCCACCCGGTACCAATCTACTAATGAATACACCTGGAACCTTCTCAATTCCACCACCAGCAGACGGTGGCAGTACGCGATAGCTTTCACCATCTTTGATATAAAATCCCAAAGGTTTATCAGATCCATGTTTTAATAGACGTACACGTCGACAGGTTTCTGGCAGTATGTCGACATCAATAATTGCAGATACCTGACAGCAAGTGTAAGTCAATAAATAATGCAAATAAATGATCGGCGGATAACATCATGCATTGAGAGAGAGAGAGAGAGAGAGAGAGAGAGAGAGAGAGAGAAATATGCAACAAAGAGCAAACTTACCTGCCTAAAATCATGTGGATTTGAAATGACTATAGATTTTGGCTTGCCTGGTGTACCACCTAAGATACTGGATATCAAATTTTTAGGTTTCATTGTACCGTATCCATTATCCCACGCTCCATCGCCTACCATAACAATTAAATTGAGGTTGTTTTCCAGCAAAAAACATAAATGTAAAAACACAATGTAACATAGACTGCTTTTCTTTTAAAAGACATAATCAACACAAGTGTCATTCTCTCTTCATTATTCATTGAATGCCAAGAAGGATAGAATGACATTTGTGTCAATTATGTCTTCTAAAAAAAAATTAATCACTGTGAATTATTTCAACTGTTTAACATTCGCAAACAACAAGGAATGTTTTCCACTTTTTTGTGTCTTTATTGGGTGCTTTCCATTTGATGACACAAGTGTCGTTCTATCCTTGTTGACATTCAAAGAGTGACAAAGATAGAACGACACTTGTGTCGACTTGTGTTATCAAATGGAAAGCATCCATTGTTCATCATGAAATACCAAAAAAGATAAAACTACATTTGTGTTGATTTCTATCACAAAAGATTCAAGAATATAATGATTTACTATCGTAGACTGGTATTACATTTGTAGTATGACAAATTTCTCAAACCTGTTAATTGGCAGTAGGACAGGGTGGTTCTTAGATCTTTCTATCCTATAGCCAATCAATAAGCTAAAAAATTTGTTATATAAAAAACAGACAAATATAATATTAGTCTCTTTTATTATGTCATCTGTATCTCTTGCTAGAAAACACTCTAAATATACACATGCAAAATATATAGGGTGCTTTCCATTTGATGAAATTAACACAAGCGTAATTCAAACTTTGTTATTCACTAAATGCTAAGAAAAATAGAATGGAAAATTAAATGGAAAGTAGCCTAAACATTTTGCACCCATATATATACATATAGAATGAGGAGTATAATATAGTGTGCCTTCCAACAAGCAACACAATGCGACACAGTGATCATGTCATCTTTGTTTAACATTGGCAAACAACAAGGATGTAATGATCCATTGTGTCACACCGTATCATTTGTGTCACTTGTTGGAAGGCACACATAGAGTGCAAAAATCTTACCTTTCCTATGTATAAAAATTCGGAGCAGGCACTTGGCATTTGCTAGAGCTCTCGCCAGATTGTTATCATTATTGATGGGAAGTAGATCACCATCTGTATCCGTGTACCAAATTGAAAAGCTGAAGTCTGCCCCCAGGTCGTGTCTTTGCGCCAATAGCTTTCCAAAGTCCTCATAACTCATAGGCTCGTTACGATTCATGGAGAATCTGATGATGTCGGCGTCGAACTGTAAAATAATTTAAATAATGCGCAATCCCGCGAAAGTCCTCCATATCCCATATTATCCACGACTGATGGTACAACGTGTACACCCACTTTACTCTTCACGGCGACGATGCCGTTGTCCACCTTGTCCTGCTTCTTGGACATCCTCGGAACTGGCTTCACCTAACGACGTGCCACTACTACGGCTGACTCAACTAGCTTAGGAGGAACGGAGGAAGACCAAGGAAGACAGAAAGACGTGCATACCAAATCACGACGGCGTGCACGGCGCAATTCGACTACAATCACGGTGAATGCCTAACAGCTATGGCAGAGAGAAACCGGAGAAACCTGAAAGCGGACATAAGCCTTTTTTCTGTAACCGCAAAATGCCAAATGCCTTGCGCACTACCGCCCTCTGAAGAAGTGGATGTCAATTATATTACAATGGACGGAATCTATAGATGTTGCTCAAGATTCGACATGTGGTGCGTTCACTGAAATATAAAGGCTTAATACAATAGGCACAGGCAACAGGGAATAACGAGCCATCCAATCAGAGCTCTGGGATATAATATCGAATTTACACACCAAAGCTCTGGGGCTCTATTCTTGAAAAGAAACGTATACGAAAGTCTAGGGAAATGCTACAGTGTACGTTACATATACTATAGTATTTCCCTAGACTTTCGTATATGTTTCTTTTCAAGAATAGAGCCCCTGGTTGGACGGCTCGTTATTCCCTGTTGCCTGTGCCTATTGCCTGTGCCTGTGCCTATTGTGTTTGCCTTAAAACCTACTGGAACGCGCGCGGACCCTCGCCGCCTTTGTTAAGGCTGCTTTCCATTTGATGACACAAATCGACACAAGTCGACACAAATGTCGTTCTATCCTTCTTGATATTCAGAGAGTGACAAAGATAGAACGACACTTGTGTCGATTTGTGTCGACTGTGTCTCCTAAAAGGAAAGCAGCCTAAGCCTTGTGTCCACGATGCTAGAAATCGGTCCAAGACCTCGGATGAAGAAAGAATTGACCAATCGCAATGGTCATGTGATCAAATTGTTCAAATGTGATTTGTTAATTTTTTCTCTGTCCGAGATCTCGGACCGATTTCTAGCATCGTGGACACAAGGCTTTAGAGTTTGATTACCCCGGATCTACAATAGGGTTTTAAGCCTTAAGCCATAAAAAATGGGCGAATCACAGTCGCTTATTCTTCTCGGATTCGACTGTAATTGGTCAATTTCTTACGACTTAAGGCTTAAAACACCTATTGTAAATCCGGGGTTAGAGTTTAATTTTAGATTTGGTATTGAATATATCGTAAATCGATATTGAAGCATCCCGTATCGATACTGTTAAACATCGGTAGCAAAAATATCGATCGATATATCGAACTGTAAAATATCGATATTCGAAATATCGATACTGCATCGCCCATCCCTACAACACTGCTTACAGTTGTGTTTCGTTTGATTCTGTAAGAATCGTAACATTCATAACAGGAATTATAATAGAAAAGGACAAGATAAATGTAAGGAAAGACAAATATCAACAAATAATAATTATAACCTTTTAAAGGTAATTTTTCAGCTAAGGGTCTCAACATAATTTTAATAGGGAGTTTTTGCAATAGCGTTTATCCAGATACGGTGAACGTTAAAGTCAGGTTATCTTCTTAACAACAACACTAATTAAGAAAAGGATAACATGACTTTAGTTCGCTGTTATTGCAGAAACTCCCTAATATTGAACCTGAGGCCGCTAAACTGACTAATTATCATATTAAAACGTAAAAATAACGTAATTATTGACGTTAAATGTGATTATTGATGTACTATTAACGTTTAATTTAGTATTGTATAAATTTTATACTTGTATTTTTACATACTGCATTTAATGTCATGAAATCAGATTAATGATGTGATATTGTAAACAAATTAATATAATTTTTTGCAGATGAGCGATCAAGATCCAACGAGTATTATTAATATGATAAAAGACTTACGTTCTGGAGCAGAATCGTATCGCAGAAGTGTTGGAATACGTTTCTCAGGAACTGGCTATGTATCTTCGAAATTCAATGAAAGCTCAGATGACAGCATTGCTTCATCCAAGCGACCGAGATTAGATGAATCTGATACATCCATTAACAATAAAACTCTGTCTGACTCTGTCCCGGGTAGTCCTTGGGAATGGCGACGTATGAAGGGAGAGGTAAGAGTGTATAAATATGAGAAAAATCCAAGTAAATCTGAAAGAAAATCTTTGAAAGAAAAGTTCATGTTTTATTCCTGCACTAAAACTTAATTCCTTTTTGATTTCACAAAATTTAAAATGTATAATTATTTCACTTTAAATATAGAAAGCTGTACACTGGTTCAATTAAACAAAAAAAACTTGTACATTTTTATATAGGTTATATCGTTAAAGACCAGACTGATGCATCAAGAGGCAGCTGTACAACAGTTACACAGCATACGTAGACAGATGGAGGAAGTCTTCGAGAAGGAGAAAGGTCTCTTGCAAATCCAGACAGAACAGGATAAACAAACTATTCAACAGCTGGAAGTCCGACTTGACGTTGCACGGCGAACAATTCAGGATGTAAAAGAGACACATGATACTGCAGAGAAAGAATGGTCCCAAGTAATTGCTTTTTATATTAATTAATTGTACATTTTTTGTAACTATATTAAGTCAATTTTAACTCTATGTATTTATTTTAGTCAAGAAATAATTTAGAAAGGAAAATAGCATCATTATTAAACGAAAACGCAAAATTATCCGAGAATCTAAGAAATACTTCCACAAATGAAAAATCTCCTTCTCCTAAAGATATCAACGAATCAAATGAATTACAAATAAAACTGGAAACTGTGGAAGCCAGAGCAGCAATACTGGAAGAGAAAATAAAGGAATATCTCAAGATGCAACAGGACTACGAATTGCAGAATGTGGAACTACAAAGTATGGAAATGAAATTACAAAAACTGGAGTCAGAAAGAGCACTGTGGGAAGAGGGCAAGCTATTAGCAGGAAGAGCTGCAAGAGCAAATGACTTGGAGAAAGAATTAAATGCTGCAAAAAGGACGATTGCAGTGTTAAAAGAATCAGTTAGAGAGAAATTACTTTTAGAAGAACAAATGGCTAACATGACAAAAAGGTAATTTTAACGTGTTTGAAATAAAATATTGTGCTTAGTTAACGAAAAACGTTTTATTACAGGCTAGAGCATACTGAACAAGTAGAGCAACAAGTGGCAACGTTAGAAGCAAAGCGATCTGAGCTTGTGCTTCGCTTGCAGGAATATGAAACTATTGGCATTACTGGAGGACCAATGGCGATGAAGCGGGAATTGAATAGACTTCAGCAAGCTGAAGTAGACCTAAGAGCAGAGGAAGGCCAGCTTAGATCAAAGTTGGATGCAGTTATACGAGAATCGCAGAACTTGTCAAATAATTATGAAGAGGCAAGGAAGTTGGCTACTGATATGACGTTGTCGAAAGATAAATTGAGCAAGCTTGTGAATAGGCTCCAGAAGAAAATGATTCTCGTCACCAGAGAGAGAGACAGTTACAGACAACAATTGGATATGTATGAGAAAGAGATAACGGTGGACGGCAACAATGCAATGACTGAAAGAATACCGGCTTTGGAACGTGTTATAGATGGATATAGGTATATTCTTTTGTACTAACATATACAGAGTAAAAATGATAGTATAACCGAGAAGGAGGTGATTCCTCATATAAAAGTAAATCGAAAATATAAAATAAAATTTTTTTATATAGATATTTTTAACAATTTTTCAATTAACAAAATAAATATATTAGAAACGTATACATTAATATAAACTATACCAAATTATCAAATTTAGACCGATATAAAAATAGCCGTGAATAATTAGATTGGATGAACGAAGCATATGACTAGTCAAGTGCAAATGTACTTAACAAATATTTAAACTTTATTTTTTTTTAATAGTTTTAAACGAAAATATTTTATTCTATATTTCCGACTTTTATATGAGGAATGATTCCCTTCTTGGTTGTATCACGACTTCCAGAGCACCCTGTATGCAACTCTTCAGTGAAATTAAATTATTTCATGAAAATATATTTAAAATTTTCTTAGGGATTTAGTCAGCAAATTGGAAATGGATCTTCAAACGGCCGAGACTGGCACTCAGAAGAACGAATGCAATAAATTGAAAGAAGAGATCGAGCAACTGAGAGGCGAGCTTGAACACCGCACGTTAAAGGGTGATTTCAACTGCAACGCCCGAGTTCTGCATTTCACGATGAATCCTGCATCGATGGCGGAGAAGCAAGCAGAGGAAAAACAAGCGGCTCTGTTGCAAGAAGTGGAAGAACTTCGTGCTAAAGTGGCGTCGGGAAATTATGGTGCACCTGTTTCATCGTTGCAAACGCAAGGTAGATAAACTTAATTAAAGTATAATAAAGCATATTTTTATTTTTTTATTATACGAAGCAATACATTTTTATTTTCTTTTAATACAGAAATCGCGGAGTTGAAGCAAACGCATGAAATAAAGATAGCGCGTTTGAAGGAAGCTTTCAAAGCATCCTCACAAGAGTACCGCCAAGCGTGCTATCAGTTATTCGGTTGGAGGGTGGACCGAACAAAAGAAGGCTGCTACAAGCTATCGAGTCAATATGCAGAGTCACCAGATGATTTCCTGTTTTTCCATGTAGGTGAAGAAGGTGTAGATATGTTGGAAACTGTCTTTTCTGCGAATTTAGGCAGTTTGATCGAACAATATTTGCAAAAACAGCAAAGCGTTCCTATGTTCCTTAGTGCTGTACAATCCGATCTATTTAGCCAGCAAACAGTGACAAATGTCATGATATAATATTGTTTTATGTTTATAAATAATAAAACTAACATTGCTGTTCATTAAGCTTTAGCAGGCTTCATATACAATAGATGATAAATATACAGTAAATAATAAATTTCTATAATTCTATCTATACAAAAGCTGCATTTATTCATACATTTAATTTGTTATGTTTTGATTTCAAATTAATTACTTCATAAATGATATAACAATAATTTTCATAATCGCTAATTTATTATTTCATGAATCTATTCTATCTTATGTTGATAATATATCTTTCCTATCTTCAGTTGCTACGAGAAATAACATCTGTCATAACAGTTTCGAATGGGTTCTTGAAATTTCTACTTATTTAATTAATTATAAATAAGAAAATATATGATTAAACTAATTAAATATTATGTTATAATTTACAACAGGATATTAATATACGTATATAAAATATTTATATCTCTCG